AGTGGGGGGGAGTGCTTGGGTTACAGGCCCTCTTCAAACTTTGCTCGTTGCCTCACACTCCTACATAACCGGACACTGAATCCTTGTTAAAGGGAAGTGGGTACATTTGGGTCCACTTAAGCCACGTCTCTTCATTATAGAGGCACCCATACAAAGAGCGCATTTATAATAATAATAATCATTCGTTGGCACCTCTCTGTCTTTCCAGATGATAGTGTTATAATGCCCTATGAGGAGACATGAGACTCACAGCCCAGGGCAAGGGCGAGTGTGACTAGCAAGACCCACCCACGTTAAGAAAATAATAATAATAATAATCACTACAGTAATAGTTCAACAATCATCTGGCTTTATACAAAACGTCGCTCATATCACGGCACGCCTGACAGTTTTTGCTCTCTGGCCTATAATAATAAAAATAATTGAAACAGTATGATATGTATAAGCAAAAACTTCTAAACAAAACCTCCATTCATGGTTATGGGAGGGGCATATGAAAGGCCCCTCTAAACGCAATCTGGAAAAGGAGGGGGGGGGGTGGTTGTAAAGGCACCAGAGCCACCTAGACTGACTGACTTTCTACCCCCCTTCCCCCCCCCCGGACATCACACAAGCCATAAACACCTGATGACACAATGTGCCACCATGTGGGTGAGGATAACCGTGGAGAGGACCCAGAAACCGCGTTCAGCCTCTAGGCCATATTTATGGCCAGGCTGTATTGCGGCCCCTTGGCAAAAGCCAGAGTAGGGTTTCAAATAAAGAAAAATTTCATCCTAAAAAGGACGGAAAGTTATAACCCCCTAGTTGCGGCACCTTAGCTTCATTGAGATCTATACTCAGTACCGAGAAAATCCGGCAATTTCATTGGTTTGATGCAGCGGTTCTCAGTCTGGGGCCGCGACCCTTTTAGAGGTCGAATGACCCTTTTACAAGGGTCACCTGAGACCATCGGAAAATATATTCGTTGAAATTGTGAAGTAGCAACGGGGGAAAAAATAGATGATTAAGGGTCACCACAACATTAAAAAACTGTATTAAAGGGTCGCGGCGTTAGGAAGGTTAAGAACCACTGGTCTAATGAGTCAATTGCCATTGATGCCCATGCCCTCCACATCAATACCAATGTCTTTGGTTTTCTGCATAGTGTTCCTCTTTGGTCACAGTCCTTGTGACCTTGTCATAGTTGTAGATTCGCAGCCACTTGGTTGTCGTGAACATCTCACTTCGATGGTTAGGTTTTAGGTTTAGACGACGTATCAACATCATAGCACAAGGGTAGTAAACCATAAGTGCTGCGTTCTGCTTCTGACTCAAGCCCGAGTCTGAAAATTGTCAGCGCAGTGCACGAGCTCCGTAGCACCGGCGAGGATCCTGAAAAACTGTAGGTAGATTTTAAACTCAAAATTTTGTCCGCACAGCTCCCTTACGCTACTCTTTTTCGATTTCTAACTGACAAGGGATTTTTTTCACGTGCGCAACAATACACACGGACGTCCGATCTCACTACCCAGAGACCCGGGGAAATTACTAGATGTCTAAGTCCACGTGGGGAACAAAACAGCCCTTGCCCGGGAGTGAATCCGGAACCTCTAGCACTCGAGGAGGACACCAAGCCACGAGACCACACAGTCCCCTGGCTACAATATAGGTCTGAATAGACACTGTATCCTTTACGGGAATGTTCTTACCAGCATAGGACTGCAGGTTGTGTCTGACTGATTTCACCGTCAGCGGTGGACTATTTAAAACTTTCTTAGAGATTGAACCGGGTATCTGAGATCTGCCTTGTTTGTCTATCGTCCAGACTGACATTTGTAATTTTCATAATTGTATCAAGCTCACTCGATCCATCACTCAAGGGAGTACACACATGCAAATACACACACGCAGTATCGCTCACTCTCGAGGTTGGCATATACAATCAATAGGATCGATACAAGATGAATCATCGATGCTGTTAAACCCAAGCCTGACTCTAGACTGGCCTCGACGTGTGTGTAAGGCGCCAAGCGGTACACACACGTTGACAAGGCGAGTGTGTAAGGGCCCGTCCTGGTCTGCCGGTCCATAAATAGGCACACGTCAGCGATACTAACCGCTATATAAACATAAGGTCCGCTTTAGATTATGGACCAACGTAACTTAGTGATTCTGAAACTGGGAAGTAGTCAGCTCTTGTCTTTTTTTTTTTAATAAGCTTTTATTTAGTAAGATTTTGTATGTTTGTCTGGTTCAGTTTTTTCGTCCGATTTGTATTCTGTTTCCCAGTAAGTTATCGGTCTGACATTTTGAACACATACTCAGACTTCAACAACAACACACACAAGTTAAAGACTCTGTTGACGCCAGGGGCGCGTCATAAAAGTAACGCTACTCGGTGGGTGATGTGTATAACATCACGCCGGTCGCCTTTATTTCTCAGGACTAAACTGAGAACCGCCTGAGAGCAAGAGTAATATATACCTTGATCCACAGGTGAGCTTCTCGCCGCTACATACACTATGGTGAAAATATGGGAGTGACTTCAGTCAAGCTTATACAAGGAATTCCAGAGAAATTTGACTAAAAAGCTCAACAAAATGGTGAAGCAGAAAAATGTGAACAAAACAATTATAATCATGTTTGGCGCTTCTTTGAATCGTTACCCAACAGGCGGCATAATTCATAGCAGCAGGTCAGAAAGGAGCTCAAATTGGCACAATTTCTGGCATAAAATATCCAAAAATATCCCCTGCGGGGTCATTTTCTATTAAAAATATTATGCCGGCTCCGAATAACGAAACAAAGCTCTGACAGGGTGCGGTCAATACGTTGCTTGCCGATCTGCCATCTTGCGAGTGTGTATGCACTGCCGAGCGTATCCCCCGCGCCGCTACGCGCGGGGTGGATGGGGGCTAAAGAAAGATGGCTGGGACTCACGAGTGGCAGCTAAGCTGCATCTTCTGCAACTCTCCTCACTTACTGTACTCAGTGAGTCCCGGAACCTAGATACGCTCGGCGATTATTTTAATCGCGTTTGGGAGCAGGCCGACAAGTCTGACATCTTACCGCTGCTAAATCCTCCAATGGCAAGAACACAGTATTGCTAACACCTTTCATCGTGTGTAATGTCTCGAAAGGGATTGGTCAAGTGGTAGCTAAATAAATCTGCAGAAACGCTCGAAATTTTGTCACAGTCGGTATTTGGAGTCTGCTACTAGTACCGTGTGCAATGTTGGTAGTGATTGTCAAGTAATCCTAGTTTTGCCGCGATTTGTTCCTTGGCAGACAGTCCGTATTTTAGATATACGGGAACACCATCGTTCGGCCAGAATGCATGCCGCCATTTTGGGGAATGGATCAAAGAAGCGCCTTATGTTTTGTTCACGTTTTTCTGCTTCCCTATTTTGTTGAGCTTTTTAGTCAAATTTCCCTGGAATTACACTATGGTGGCTACCTTTCTGAAAAAAAAAATCGAAATTATGTCATGATTTTCTACCTTTGGGCTCCTTGGCTGGAAGAGGAGAGGGTGGATAGAACCACAAGCTCGGAACAACCATGTCGTATAATGCCAAAGAAAATGAAGCGCACAAGGCTGGTGTTGATTTAATACAACAGCTTTCTTGCACCTTGTAGAATTGACATAGTGGACTTAAACATATCTTTTTTTTCCCTTCATCTTTCTGAGATGTGGATGTATAATTGATAAGTCACTCTTCCTCGCTTTCTCCCCTGCTGAAATTTATTTTCTAAACATGCGACAGTGGCTGTGTTGGGAAAGATAGGTATATACACCTCATAAAGCCACAAACAAGTATATATGTCAGCCTGGAAATTAACATCCCCGCGGTATTTTTGTTTTGTTTTGTGTGTGACCCTTTTTTTTTTAAACCGAGTAGTTAATCCTCTAGAAGTTTGTTCACCCTGCCAAAGGGAAGATAATTACCGTCCTCTGCTTAGATCTTCTATCGATCGTCTCCCTTGTTTTCTTGAAGCCAGCTATAAAATGGGGTCAGTCACTGGGTGATCATGCTACTTTTGCAGCACCGCAAATGTCATGAAAGAAGACAGCAAGAGAGAGGAGAGATCAGTGGCTGTCAGGGAACATACCGAAAATTGTGAGAGCAGAGCTAGTGTGGGGAGAGATCAGTGATCTTTACACCTACCTCACTCAGATCGACCCATGTATATTTTTAGAGCTAAAGCTACACAAGAACCGATGCATTGTGACTTTAGGTGTTTAAACTCAGACTTATCCAGGAAATTCACCAACCGAACAGCGATACAACTCTTAACTTTTAAAGTGTTTTAAGTTTAGACTTTGAAGAAATAAACTTTATAATTCCTATTTATAGTTTTATGTTATCACAATCTACTTCAGTGCACACTGGGCATTCTTAAGCATGCTCAGTCCTCAAATGCAGCAGCCACCCCTTAGGTTCCACTACTGATGATTCCTATTAGAAAATGATTATAATGTCTTTCGTCTTATCCTCGGAGACGGCATCGATGGGCTTCAACAGGATTTACTCCGAGGACATGTAATCTGGTTAGCAGCTAAAACTTGTCATTGTCCACTACTAATTGAGTCAATACAGCTTTAATTAAATCAGCTGTGTCTATACTTCTGCCAACACACAATAGTGTATTACTTGCCAGTTGGTCCGCTCTTTGGTTTTTTTTATTTCTCAAAGTAATTCTTTGATCTTTTTGTTTATTTCAGATCATCCACAAGAATGACAGACATCACTGTTGCCTGTTCTTGGATATTTAAATACAGTCTCTGAAACATTGGTTGGCCGTGTTAAACAGTGCCTCTTCTTCCGTACTTCTTTGTTGACATGAAAACAACAACCTTATACTTGATATATTTAAAAACCTTGGTGCCGAGTTCCATTTTATACCCTTATTTCAGTTAACTTGTCATAAAAAGACTGTTACATATGTTTCAGTGTCACATATCCGTATGATAAAATTAACCCAATTTCGCTGTGACACTTCACTTGTAATCTTCATTAATGATTATTCCACAAACCCTCGACATTGGGAGAAGACCAGCGGAGATCAGAAACTACATGAACATTGAAGGGGAGAGCAGCAGACGTGGAACCGGAAGCAAGATTTCTGGTAAAGACGTCGACGGCCAAGTGGGCGGAGCTATGGAGTTTATGTACTGTATTCCCGATCTTGAGGTCTTTATTGACAAGACTATCAAAAAGTGTCTACTGGAGTATGACTTAGATGCAAATGATACTGAAGCAGTATTAGATGATATGGAGAAGGCGTGGCCTAAGTCTCCGCCTAGACCTACAGAGAGACATTCTTTGAAAGACTGTAATGATAATACCGAAAAAGCAACAAATAGTCGGCCGGGTTCAGTAGCCAATCATTTTCAAGGAACTCCGCCACTGGAGATGGCAGTAAACAGTACAGTTCTCAGAGAAGGCAACACAGATCATACCACGGAACAGACAGAGGGAACTCCAGAGGCAGAGTTGTCAAAGAAGGTGGAGCCAGCTAATGTAGCGTCCAATGGGAACAAATATCTTGAGCATCTGACCATGGAAAGCTACAGAAGTGACACCTCAAGTCCTGATGTGGGTGATAAAAAGTTGCAGACTCTGAGGGTAAGTATGAGATAGAGTGTAATTATTCTTCTCCTCCTTCGTGTTCACCAGCTGTGAACTTTTGTGGAGATTTCTGGACTTTAGTCTTGTTCCAGAACCCATGTTTTACAGATCTGGCTTATTTGTATGCAGACTGTAATTCCTTGTCTCTCAGGCAGATGCATTCAGACTTCAAAGGAACCATCTCTGATTGGTCTACTTTTACGACATGTTATTTAGAGACTAACAGTGGCCCCAAAAACCTGTACAGGGAAGAGTGTAATTGAGTTGAGTGAAGAATCGCTGTCAAAGCCTCGCATAAACCATGAACTCTCTAGTTCTAGTGACCATCCCCATGGATCTCCATAAAAACTACAGAAGTGATCTGAATAATGCGTCAGTAAAATGAACCTCAATCTTTAGAGACTGAAGCAGACTGCTTGACCATGTAGCTTCTGTGGCTCTGACCAGTGTGCTTGTCTACCAGCCTGATGGTCATCCATGTATTCAGATCATCTGCATAGTTTGGAATAAGGGGGAATGGGGGATATTTACCTTTACTTCAAAGTCAGTCCAGCCTTTAATCCTCATCATCATGCAATTGTACCAGTTTATTCTTCCATTCAATGCAGTTGTTTCAGAATCATGACTGGAATCCAGTCCAGAACCTTTGACCTCTCTCATGAACGGTCTTCATTTTCCAGAGTGGGTACAGGACAATAACTGGAAAGTAAAGATGTTCACATCACCTGTCAGTTGCCAGTTGGTCTAGAAAAACAGGGCCGACTAACAATAATTATTTAATTAAAAAGATATCAGACCAAACGAAATTATTGTTGCAGATGTCACTCAGCAATATACATTGTATTCTTTAATGTCATGCATTAAAAACAAAATCAAACTTCAAGCGACTAGGAACTCCAGATCCTAATTTAAAAGTTTCCAGCCCACCCTTCCAAGCTGCATGTGTGCAGAGAGTTAGAAAACCCTGGAAGACTGCTGAAACCTAGAGTACAACTAAATGAAACAAAATCGAAATCTTATTACAAGACTCTCTAACCTCAAATCTTCGACTCTCTAAGAGGTGCAAACAGCTAAGAATGGAGAGTGAGAAAACAAAAAATGCTAGTTGCATATCATTAACAGGAGTTTGCGAACCAACTCCAGCATTTTGTTTTAATTTTTTGTTGTTGTTGCTGTTATGGATTTCTAGGCAAATTATATTCAGTAGTTTGCGATATCATCTCATTTTTATTTGCAAAAGCCTGTACACACGTAGTAAATCTGCATAAGATTAAAGGCAGGATTGTCAATAACTTTTATAGTGAACTCTGGTGTGAGTCAAGGCTGTGTACTAGACATGTTTTTTTATAACATACATGGATACCATATGTAAGGAAACGAACTTTAATCACGAAGAAGATTATTACTCACACTGTTCACTCACTCCCAAAGGGCCCTCGCAATATTTAGCTTTGCATACATTAGTTCAGAAGAATGCTAGGAATAAAGCCAGTCTTACAGGTCATAAAAAAACAACAAATAAAGTGGTTTGGACACCTATCAAGAATGCTCTGGTACTATCTGCCACAGCGAGCCACACAAAAACATTACAATGGGTATAGAGCGAGTGTAAGGCCTTGGAAAATATGGAGTGATGGCATCAAGAACAGCCTTACAGAAATGAACATCAGTCTTAATAGTGCTCTTGACAGAGCTCATCAACGAATGTTGCATCTCCACCCGACACTTCGATGAGGTACAAGGAGGAAGAGAAGAAGAAGTTCACCACCAAGTGGTGCAGCACCGACCAGTCTATCTGCCTGCTGAATGTAGAGAGATAATAAACGGGCAGACTTACATACACTTGGAGTCTCTAACTGTCAACGGCCATTACTGGTGGTGTTGGTGGAATGAGGGGAGGGGGTGTATTTGAGCCTTGGGGTTTTAATTTGGGTCACAAACCAAACTGGAAAGAAAAGGTCAATCAGTAAGATCAATGGAGCCGGGAGATATCAGCAGCAATGAGCAAAACCGTGCTTACGGTATTCTGGACCCTGGGAAAATCATACAAATAGGACGGGAAAAAAAAGAACCAGACAAACAAACAAAATCTTACTAAATAAAAGCTTATTAAAAAAAAGGGTAAGAGCTGACTACTTCACAGTTTCAGAATCACTCGTTAAGTCGGTCCATAATCTAAAGCGGAGCCTCTACGACAGCCACTTACAAGGATGATATAATCAGTGGTCGATTATATTTTATATCTGTATATAAAAAGTGATGATGATGATATATAAAGTAAAAGTAAAGGGCCATTTTCCACGCTTTTCAGGCGTATTGGGTATATAGGGCTAGACTTAAATTTTATAGACCAAACGGCACTTGATGTGGTCAGCATCGCGCCTACCGCCTTTACTTCCCAGCACTGTAGCTGGTACCCACTGAAAGCTGGGTCGACCTGGGAGCCAAGGTCATTTTTGAAGAAAAAAAACCGGCCCTCGTCAGGAACTGAACTCATGACCTTCAGGTCCACAGCCGAGAGCGTCTAGCCACTAGACCACGGTGGCTCCCTATTTATATATATTTATATTTGTTGCACTTTAAAAAAAAAACTGGTGTTGAAGCGTTAACACAGATTAGATGGCAGAGTATGAAACTACTACGAACTTCCTGTATGGCAAATCACTTGACATTTACAGAGCAGCACTGGGCCCCTAGACTGGTGGGGACCCCCCGGGCAGATGCCCCATTTTCCCATCCCTTAAGACGACCCTGACAGCAAGCCTTACAGTCTTGTAATAAACGCTTAATAATTGAGGACCTCTTTTTTCCTCTGCGAGTTTACCGGCTGTAGAGTCCGGTTCTGGTTGTTCTAACGGCTGTAAACTGTAGCGGAAAGTTCTGGTTGTTTCAACGGCTGTAAACGGGAAAGTTCTGGTTGTTCGTCAGCTTCAGGGCTCTAGTCCTGTTTTACCACCTGAGTGTTGTATGCTCATCCATTTTACAGATCTGACTCTTGTGTATGCAGACTGTTGGTTTATTGCCTCGCAGACAGTTGCACTTCGACTTCAAAGGAAGCTCCCTGTTAGTCGACTCTTACCACATGCTTTTGGGTAGGCAGTGGATCTATACTTAATTTCCCCACATTGGGGACCACAGATCCACACGGGGAAATAACAGAGATGAAGAAGTCTTAACAGTCACCACTCACGAATCTAGAGCTACAGAGAATTGGCCCAGACAAGAAACCTTTTGATAATAAAGCTGTTACATAAAATCAAATAAGAAACTCCACCAAAGTACGCGAACTTTTCACCCTAGCTGGCAACCAAGGTTGAACGCACTTTAATTGCCAACTCTTTTCACGTCTGATGACAGAAACATGCACGAGTATTGTGCATGCAAACGCGGTTTATGCAACTGTGCGAATAACAGCTGGTCTTTCAAGTGCAGACTAGTAAGTCGGTGTATAAATAGACACGACCCATGTATTGAGGAAAGCAAGTCCTTCCCGCCAAAGGGCTGCAGGTTACACCTGACTGGTGTCGCCGTTACGGGCGCTCTGATGATAACTTCTTTTGAGGTTGAACAGGGTGTCTATGATCTTCTTAACTGGTTTGCCGTGCAAATTGAGATTTTTAAATTTAAAGATAGCCTGGTTAATTTTTAGGGTGCAACCAGACAAAATGATGGATTGAGATTCCGCTGTGAAGTTCATACTGTAAATCTGAAAGGGAATTGAAAGCCGAAGAGACATTTGTTTTAAACGATTTTTATCTGTAATATAGGGGTTGGGGTGGCGACCAGTTATGCCTTATCATTCGCAGACATACGCTTAGTATTTTGAATTTATAGTCATTGTTATCTTTATATTATTATTATTATTATTTTTGTAGTAGTACTTACAGAAACAGTAGTAGAAGGAGTTATAGTTGTTGTGGTTGGTGATGATAGTGGTAGTAGTAGTGGTAGCAGAAGCGGAAGCATATTGATATAAACAAGGAGACAGACGAACCTCACACACACGCACCTATTGCCTACCTATACTGTATAAACATACATATGCGAACAGATAAATTACTAGATGGGCAGACGCCTGTATGCAAATGAATGGACCGACGGAGATAAACAGAGAAGTCATTGCCTAACACACGCTCATGTAGACAGACAAACCGATCAAAAGATCGATGTATAAATAAATAGACAGACCAAGGGACGGACAGGCAGACAAATGACTGTCAGATATTGAATAGTGAAGTCCACGCTGACACAGTATGAACGACTACATACTTTGCTGGCCCAGGCATAGAAAAGTCAGCTCCTACACCCAATGCAAACACACACGTTCATAACTTTACACGCAGGTATCACACAAACACACATGTTCATAACTATATACGCAGGTATCACACAAACACACACGTTCATAACTATACACGCAGGTATCACTCACATTCACACACGCACACGTTCGCCGTATACAAGTACAGACCCAAAAAATGGTGTCCGTGGTTTGTGTCCGCAGTTTCGCCAAATGTTTAAGAAGGCGAAACGCGTGCTTAACTGAAAATTTGGAACATGTTACAAACTCAGGTCCAGCTCCGCCCAGCTACACACTTACGAGTGACGAATTCGGGCCAGGATGTTTATTTATGCGTGTTACCATTTGAGACTTCTTTCTTTCTTTCTTTTGTCAAAATCTGCTTGTGCCGCTAGGCGTCGCAGTCTATCAGATGATCGGCAACCGAGCCAGGGCGCGCTCAGTCGCTTCATATGCCGTGATGTTATGAAGTCTCAAGTTGTCTGTGACTCCTTCAATCCATCTTCTTCTTGGTCTTTCCCTGCCTCTTGGTGTTTCGATTTTCATGTTGTATGCTCTTGATGCTGGCATCACGCACAAAAACAACAATGTTCAATAAACTATAAACCGCAGGTATCACACAAACACACATTTCATAAACTTGGTTCCATTCTCATTAGGTGACCAACACGCATTTCATTCTTTGCTTCTCACATAA